GCGCAGCAAGGGTGCTGTCACTGAGGTGCTGATCGACTGGATCCGCGGGGCTCGTCTCCAGCTCAGGAGGAGCTTCGGCTCGGACTTTCCTGTTCTGCGTCTGCACTCTGACCGAGGTGGGGAGTTCTCCTCTCGCCTTCTGCGAGACTACTGTCGTGCACAGGGGATCCGCCAGACCTTTACGCTTCCGGACTCTCCACAGCAAAATGGGATTGCTGAGCGCCGCATTGGCATGGTCATGGATGTCGCTCGTACGTCCATGATGCATGCGGCTGCCCCCCATTTTCTGTGGCCGTTTGCGGTTCGGTACGCGGCGCATCAGCTCAACCTTCACCCCAGGGTCTCTCGGCCCGCGATGTCCCCAGTGTTACTGTGGACGGGGAAGGTCGGCGATGCGTCTGCGTTCCGTGTCTGGGGATCTCGGGCGTTTGTCCGCGACTTGTCTGCGGACAAGCTGTCCCCCCGTGCTGCTCCCTGTGTCTTCCTTGGCTTCCCCCTTGACGCTCCAGGGTGGCAGTTCTACCACCCCTCCTCTCGTCGTGTTCTGTCCTCCCAGGACGTCACGTTCGACGAGTCAGTCCCCTTCTACCGCCTCTTCCCCTACCGTACTCCTTCCCTCCCCCCCCCACCGGACTTCCTGGTGCCAGTTCCCCCCCCGGTAGACCCCCTCCCCCCTCAGGTTCCTGCCCCTTCAGGTGTGTCCCAGGTAGACACAGTCGAGCCAGTCGAGGTTGCTGCTGAGTCTGGTCCTGCTGCGGGTGCAGAGTCTGGGGGTGCTACGCCTGCGGGTGCTGAGCTTGGGGGTGCTGCTGCTGGGGGTGCTGAGCCTGGGGGTGCGAGGCCGGGGGGTGCTGAGCTTGGGGGTGCTGCTGCTAGGGGTGCTGAGCCGGGGGGTGCTACGTCAGGAGCTGCTGAGCCTGGGGGTGCTGAGCCTGGAGGTGCGGAGCCTGCGACTGCTGGGCGGGAGCCGCTCTCTCCACAGGAGCTGCGCGAGTGGTTTGCTCGCCGCTGGAGGCGTGCTGCTGGAGCTGGAGCTTCTTCGCTTGCTGAGGGTGCTGCCGGTCCCGGAGCTGCTGGGCCTGCGAGTCCTACTGGAGCTGGAGCTACTGAGTCTGGGGGTGCTGAGTCTGGAGCTGCTGAGCCTGGAGGTGTTGAGTCTGGAGCTGCTGAGCCTGGGGGTGCTACGTCTGGAGCTGCTGTGCCTGGGGGTGCTGAGTCTGGAGCTGCTGAGCCTGGGGTTTCTCCTGCTGCTGCGTCTCGCCGGGAGCCCCTCTCTCCACAGGAGCTGCGCGAGTGGTTTGCTCGCCGTTGGAGGAGTGCTGCTGGAGCTGGAGCTTCGTCGACCGTCGAGGGTGCTGGTGCTGCCGGTCCCGGAGCTGCTGGGCCTGCGGGTCCTACTGGAGCTGGAGCTGCTGAGGGTGTTGGTGCTGAGACTACTGCTGTCTGTCCTGGCGGTGGTTCTGCTGCTGGTGCTGCTGGAGGTCCTGCCGCTGGAGGTGTTGGTGGCGCTGGTGCTGTCGCTGAGGGTGCTGGTGCAGTCCCTGCTGAGTCTGGAGCTGCCGCGCGGCCTCGGCCGTACTTCGTTCCGCTCCTACAGCAGGTTCTTGGTCTTTCTCCTTCGGTAGAGTGTCCACAGCCTGTCCAGTCGCAGTCACTGTTGGAGCCTTCCTCTCCTCTGCCTGCTCCCTCTCCTTACACTGGTCCTACTGGAGGTCTTACTGAGCGTCGTGAGCTTGCGTCTCGTCCCGCGTCGCCTGTTCGTGCTGCTCGCGCTAGTGGTCGCGGGTCGCGTCAGTGTCCTCCTCCTGTCCCTGGCACGCACCGGATGTCTCTGCGTCCGTCCACTGCTCCTTTGCGTGCCCCTTTGCCTTCTCCTTCTGAGTCCTCTCTTCCTGCGCTTGCCGACCCTGAGTCGGACTCCCTTCGTGCTGCCAGTCCTACTGTCACGCGTCTGCTTTCTACTGTCGTCACTGACCCCTCTTTTGAGTCCACTGCTGCGTCTGCTCTTGTCGCTGAGCTTGTCGACTTTGCTGCTCGCTGTCGTCTAGACTACGCTGCTAGTCTTGTTGCTGAGTCTGCGTCTGTCTGTCCTCCGTCCGTCGGGGGTGCGTGTGCTCTTGGCACGGACGTCCTAGAGGACAGGCAGGAGGAGTTACAGTGTCTGGCTGCTGCTTAACCTCATCTCGCGTCTGTACTGCTTGCTCCTGAGGGAGACCCGGATGCACTAGACATCCCGACTCCGCGCTCTTACGCGGAGGCTGTAGAGGGTCCCTACTCCTCTCAGTGGCAGGCAGCTATGGATGCAGAGATGGCTTCCTGGAAGTCCACAGGCACCTACGTTGACGCGGTTCCCCCTCCTGGGGCGAACATCGTCAGTGGCATGTGGATCTTCAGGGTGAAGCGGCCGCCGGGCTCTCCACCTGTCTTCAAGGCACGGTACGTTGCTCGTGGCTTCAGTCAGCGGCAGGGAGTTGACTACTTTCAGACCTTCTCTCCCACCCCGAAGATGACCACTCTTCGGGTGCTGCTGCACATAGCCGCTCAGCGCGACTACGAGCTTCACTCTCTCGACTTCAGCACTGCGTTCCTGCAGGGTAGCCTGCACGAGGAGATCTGGCTGCGCCGTCCACCTGGATTCACTGGGACTTTCCCTCCTGGCACCCAGTGGAGCCTCCGACGGCCAGTCTACGGTCTCCGCCAGGCACCGCGTGAGTGGCACGACACACTGAGGACTACGCTTGCGGCTCTTGGGTTTGCTCCTTTTACTGCCGACCCGTCGCTGTTTCTGCGCACCGACACTTCACTGCCGCCGTTCTACATCCTCGTGTACGTCGACGACTTGGTCTTTGCCACAGCGGACACTGCTGGACTCGCCTACGTGAAGTCCGAACTGCTGAAGAGACACACGTGCACAGACCTGGGTGAACTGCGCAGCTACCTTGGCTTGCAGATCACTCGGGACAGAGCACGCCGCACCATTACCTTGACTCAGTCACACATGGTGCAGCAGGTCCTTCAGCGCTTTGGCTTCACGTACTCCTCGCCTCAGGCCACTCCTCTGCCTACTCGCCACTCACTCTCAGCTCTGCCTTCGGATGAGTCCGTAGAGTCGAGTGGTCCGTATGCAGAGCTTGTTGGCTGCCTCATGTACCTGATGACCTGCACACGACCTGACCTTGCATACCCTCTGAGCATTCTTGCACGCTATGTTGCTCCTGGGAGACACAGACCAGAGCACATGGCTGCAGCGAAGAGGGTATTGCGCTACCTGTGCAGTACGTCGGGCATGGGGCTAGTGCTTGGAGGGCGGAGTCCAGTGGTCCTTACCGGCCACGCGGACGCTTCTTGGGCTGACGACCAGGCTACGCAGCGGTCGTCACAGGGTTACACCTTCAGCCTTGGTTCCGGCTCTGTCTCGTGGCGGTCTACTCGCTCGTCTTCGGTTCTCGGCTCCAGTTGTGAGGCTGAGATCTACGCCGGGGCCATGGCTGCACAGGAGCTTCGCTGGCTCACCTACCTGCTGAGTGACCTTGGAGAGCCACCTCGTTCTCCTCCAGTGCTGTACGTAGACAACAAGGCCATGCTGGCCTTGTGTCGAGAGCAGCGCTTGGAGCACAGAACGAAGCACATTGCTCTCCGCTACTTCCTTGCTCGTGAGCTGCAGCAGCGTGGTCAGTTGCGACTTGCGTACGTGGCCTCTGAGGCCAACACTGCTGATGTGTTCACCAAGGCACTCGCGCCTTGTGACCATCAGCGCTTTTGCACCCAGCTGGGTCTTGTGCCTGTCTTGCCTCACTTGCTCTCCTCTTGACTTCACTTGTACTGTGACATATATATATACCTGCTCTTGCTTGTCTAGTTTTATATATATGTCTGTACTCCTGCATGTGAACTGGCCTCTGGCCCTGCTCTTGTGCTCGGACTGTGTGGTGACTTTGTGATCCACCCTGAGCTTGCTTTGCTTTGCTTGACTGGTCTTGTGACCCCTTGTTCTCCCCCACTTTGCCTATGGGGGTGTGTCAAACATTATATATGTTCTGCTTGTGTAGGCTACAGTGGGTTAGCCTATAGGGGGTACACAATTCTAGGGTTTCCTACTTGTACTCATTTCACTGCTAGTTCATACATTCCTGTTCGCTCATTCTCACATGTTACACGTTGTGATGACTTGATTGGCTCATGAAGTAGAGACGAAAACACTTACTTCGTATCCATGTGTAACGAGACAATTTGCAATTTGGCGAAACGACATCCTACGGTATATCTTCCTTCCCAGCAGCTTCAGAACGGCTTCAGCTTGGACTGGGGATCAACCAGAAGTTTGCTGATCCGTTTTGACTCAGAATCAACTCTAAACAATCATACCAAACAATACTGGTGTTTGGAATGTCTGAAAAAAACAGTCAAGACTAGGGCACGCCCCGTTCTTAGCTATCGGTAGTCGTGCACTGCAAACACATTCGAAGTAACCCCATCCATGGCTTATAACAAGCATGCCTCTATCGAATATGCATTAAACAAACCGGCCTCTCTTGAACATGCCTTTGGCTCATGTCTTGGGAACGAGAGGCCACGGGTATCCCTTAGCCCAATCGTGACCTTTGGGTAGTCCGTCCAAGCACTGGTGGTTGCAGGGGCGGGAGGGGGGCAGAAAATGATGTCTTAATGTGCACTGCACACACACTTGGAAACCAGTGCCTTTGCCTCATGTCTTGGGAACAAGAGGCCACGGGTATCCCTTAGCCCAATCGTGACCCTTCGGTAGACCGTCCAAGCACTGGTGGTTGCCGGGGGAGGGTGGATTGGGGAGGGAGGGTGGGTTTCAGGGCGGGAGGGTAAGAGGGGTTAGACATTTAAAAAAATGCTCAAATGATTCCATGATGACCAGACAACATGCACGACTCACACGCACACACACGCATGACGGACACACCATGCACATCTGAAGAAGCTTGTTCCAAGCAGCGAGCAGAACAAAACAAGAGCAATCAAATTCAAATTCAGACAAGAAGAATCTGCAGCCATACCTGGAAAGGGATGAAGTTTCGCCAATAACGGTAACCCTTCTTGGGCGGCGGCGGCGGATTCCCCGTGATCTGTACAAAATCCGATACGATTTCCGCCGGTGGGATCATAACCATAACTCCCGGCACCCCCGGATGCCTGAAAGCCGGCACACCCACCCCAGCACCTTTCCTCCCTCCCCTAGAACTCGCATTATGCCCCCCACCACCACCAGCAGCAGAACCAGCAGCAGAGTTAGCTGCGGCTGCTGCGGCGGCGGCGGCAGCAGCAGCAGCAGCACCGGCCACCCAGCCTAAATCCATGGATCGCCATGTTCGCTTTTCTACCCTCTCTGCTATTCTTGAGCTTCGTCTCCTCTTTGGTACTGATCCTGGTGCTCCTCCTGCTGCTCCCCCGGCTCCCCCTGCTCCTCCCCCTGCTCCTCCCCCTGCTCCCCCCCCTGCAGACCCAGCTGCCGCGGCAGTAGCTGAAGGAGATGAATTTGCAAATACCCCTAATCCCGTTCCTCCTAGTCCCCCGGATAACCCTGCTAGAAACCACTCAGACCCACCCATCCCCAACCCTCCCTCCGCCTCCCCTTCATCCTCCTCCATCCCCATCCCATTGTCCTCCTCCCCATCCTCCCCATTCCCATACTCCCCAAACATCCTCCTGCGTTTCCGAGCCTCTTTCCTCCTCATCCGAACCTGTCCCTCCCTGTAATCCCCAGGGAAATCCTCCTCCGAGTCTTCATCAGAGCCTTCTCCCGAGCCTCCTCCCGAGCCTCCCTCCACCCGCTCCTTACCTCTCCTTCTCCTCTCCCTCTCCCCCCTCCCACCCTTCTCCTCTCCACCTTCCCTTTCCCACTCTCCCCTAACGCCTCCATTCCCATGCTCGCCTGCCCCCTCTCTTCTCTCTTCCTCCATCCGTCCCTCCGCAATCAATTCCCGCCTATCTCTCCTCACTAGAGAATCGAATCGGATCTTGTCTGAATTTTGCCAAATCCCAACCCCTCCTCTCCTCTTCTCCCCATCTCTCTCTTCCTTCTCCTCCTCCTTGCCCCCCTCCTCCTCCTCTCTCTGCTCCTCTGCTTGCTCCTCTGCCTGCAGAGAAGCAAGCACAGTTCGATCCACATCCACAAGTCGCCTCTCTCTCTCCTTCTCCCTCTCTTTCTCCTTTTCCTTCTCCCTATCTTTTTCCCTCTCCCTGTCCCTCTCCCTCTCCTTGTCCTTCGTCTTATGCTTGACCTTCTCCTTCTCTCTCTCCCTCTCCGTTCTCTCCTTCTCCCCTCTCTCATCCCCCCTTCTCTTCTCCATCTCCTGTTCCTCCAAAACCTCACTCACCAAACCAGTACCTCTGCCTGCTGCCCCTCCTTCTCCTCCTGTTTCTGCTCCTGCTGCTCCCGCAGAAATTCTCAACCTGCCTTCTTCCTCCTCTGCCGATCTACCATCCCTCCGCTCCTCGCCTCCCTCCACTCTCCCATGCTTCTTCAGCTTCTTCTCCCTCCTCTCCTCCCCTTCATGCTTCCCTTCCCTCTTGCTCTCCCCCTTCTCTTCCTTCCTCCCTTCAACCTTACCCTCTCCCTTACCCTCCCTTCTTTCCTCCCCTTTCTCCCCCCCTCTCCCCTCTCGATCCTTCTCATGCCTCTTCTTTTTTTTCTTCTTCCCCTCCTTGTCCCTTTTCCCAACCCCCTCTCCTTCCACCCCCTTCTCCTTCTTCCCCACTCCTCCCGCACTCGCCCTCTCCCTCTCCCCCTCTCCCTCCTTCCCCTCCTCAAGGCTCCTACCAAAACCGTCAATCTGCATTCCCAACGCACCATTCGCAGCACGAGCAGCAGCAGAGGCAGCATCACCAGAAGCAGCACTACCAACAGCAGCAGCGCCAGCGATCCCACCCTTACTATACGCCCCCTGCTCTTTCTCCTTCTCTTTCTCCTTCTCTTTCTCCTTCTCTTTCTCCATCTCCTTCACTTGCATTTGCTCACGACCCGAAAACACCATCGGAGGATGGAGAAGCGATGAGGGAGGCAGGGACAGGAGAGGTTTCGAAGACTGCCAATCAGCCTCCCTCCTTTCCACCACCAAGCCACCCCCCTCCTTTCGGCGAACCCCATCCTCGGATCGAGCAGCCAGGCCATTGCCAACCAGCACATTTTCCTGTGCTGCCAACAGAGACCGCCGTGACAGAAGGGGTGGCAGCAGACCAATCTTTCTATCCTCGAATTCTCCCCTTGGCTCTTCCAGATTCGAGTCAAAAGGTCGATTGAAAGGCACTGTCGGTTCCATACCCGGCTGCTGCATGCCCCTGTTGTTGCTGCTGCTTGGGAGAGGAAGCTTCTCAGAAGGTTCAGAAGGTTCTGCTGCAAGAGGCAGAAGCTCATCCATGCCTGCAGGGGCTACCCCGACCCACCCGTTCGCCGCCTCCAGTTTCCTGAGGGGGCAAGAGAAAAAGGGAGATCAGGAGAGAGGCGGGGGGGGGGGGGGGGGGGGGAGGGGGGGGGGGTACGAAGGGGACCGAGGCAATGAGCAAGATTCATCAGCAGAAGCTCATCCATGCCTGCAGGGGCTACCCCGACCCACCCGTTTGCCGCCTCGAGTTTCCTGAGGGGGCAAGAGAAAAAGGGAGATCAGGAGAGAGGCGGGGGGGGGGGGGGGGGGGGGGGGGGAGGGGGGGGGGTACGAAGGGGACCGAGGCAATGAGCAAGACTCATCAGCAGAAGCTCATCCATGCCTGCAGGGGCTACCCCGACCCACCCGTTTGCCGCCTCGAGTTTCCTGAGGGGGCAAGAGAAAAAGGGAGATCAGGAGAGAGGGGGGGGGGGGGGGGGTACGAAGGGGACCGAGGCAATGAGCAAGATTCATCAGCAGAAGCTCATCCATGCCTGCAGGGGCTACCCCAACCCACCTGTTCGCCGCCTCTAGTTTCACGCTCATCCGTGCCTGCAGGGGCTACCCCGACCCACCCGTTTGCCGCCTCCAGTTTCCTGTGGTATCATAGACAAATCAACCACAGTGCACACCTTCTCTTCTTCATAGGCAGTTGGGGCGGGGGTTGCCCCGTGATCGCCCTGAAATCCTCCTCCACCTCCTCCGGAGTGAGAGTGATCGACACACGCACGCACGGCCGCTGTGTTATAAGCCGACTCAAAACACAATTTAGAAACACGTGAGCCCACCTTCTCTTCTTCATAGGCAGTTGGGGCGGGGGTTGCCCCGTGATTGCTCTGAAATCCGCCTCCACCTCCTCCGGAGAGAGAGTGATCGACACACGCACACGCGGCGGCAGCACTGGGGGAAGAATGTCACGTGGCGGCGCCAACTCCTTCCAGGAAGGTTCCTCACTCGAGGAGTCCAGGCGTGGCGGCAGCACAGGGGGAGGGACGTCATGTGGGACCAGCTCCTGCCGGGAAGGTTCCTGAGTCGAGCCAAAACGGAAGCCCTGGGACTCCAAGCAAGGATCTTCTTTAGTTGACTTGAGAGGCAGTGCTTGGGAATCCACGCAGGGAGGCGGCACAGTTGGAGGCAGGTCACGCGGCGCCAGCTCCTTCCGAGAATCTTCTTGTGATGACTCGAATGCACTCTTAGGCAGCCCTACAGAAGGAGATTTTTGCAGATTTTGTCTCGAGTCGATGGGGAGGGGTTGAGAGACTAGAGGAAGGTCCTGAGGCTCTAGGAACGGAGGTGCTAGGGAGAGGTTGAGAACAGGAGCGGTGGAGTGAGGGATGGAGGGTTTTTGAGGCGCCTTGGGTTTAGGCTCGGAGGATAGGTCCGGCACAGATTTGGATGGGAGGTCAGGGGCAGGTGCGGTGGAGTGAGAATTACAGGAACGGGGAGGAGGAAATTCAGGTTTGGGGAGGTGGGAAGTGGAAGGGTGGGAGGTGGGAAGGTGGGCGGAGGAGGGACGCGGAAGAGATGACGCAAGGGGAGGGATCCCTGGGAAGGGGATGATTGCTGCTGAGTCTTTCCCAGTTGACTCAATTGTTCTTGTTGCTGGTGGTTCAGCTGGTGGTTTAACAGCAGTAGCTGAAGCAGCAGGTTCTGCTGCTGCTGCTGCTGCTGCTGTCGATTCAAGTGCTGTTGAAACTACTGCTGCTGCTAAATCAACTCCGGCTGTAGAGGGAGGGGTGATTGCAGGAGGGAAGGCAGACGCAGCAGCTGCTGCTGTCTCAACTGCTGCTGCTGTTGCCTCTGATGCGATCCTAAGAACTCCTTTTTGAACCTCAGCCTTTGAATCTTGTGGTATGCCTGTTGCTGTATGGACTGCTGCTACTGCAGCTGTGTCAGCTGCTGAGTTCTCTGCCATCTTTGGTGTTGCTGCTGGTGCCCCTGCCATCGCCAGAGTGGCTGCTGTTACAGCCTTTTTACCTTGTGGTACGGATGTTTCCGTAGCAGGAGGGATGGCGGCTGTAGCAGGAGAGATGGCAGATGAAGCAGGAGCGGTGGCAATAGTACCAGGATGAGGAGTGGCAGCCGTGGCAGCAGCAGTGACAACTGTATCAGGAGGGGTGACGGCATTAGCAGGAGCGATGGCGGCTGTAGCAGGAGAGATGACAGATGAAGCAGGAGGGTTGGCAACAGTACCAGGATGAGGAGTGGCAACCGTGGCAGCAGCACTGGCAACTGTATCAGGAGGGGTGACCGCATTAGCAGGAGCGATGACGGCTGTAGCAGGAGGGATGGCAGATGAAGCAGGAGAATTGGTGGGTAATTCAGAAGGTTTGGCAGCTGCGGCAGAAGGGGTGGCGGCTGTAGCAGGGGAAATCGCAGCTGTAGCAGAAACGGTGGTAGCTGGATCAGAAGGGGGGAGAGATGTGGCAGCGGGAGTGGCGGCTGCAGCAGGAGGATTAACAACTGTAGCAGGAGGCTTGGCAACCGTGGCAGGAGCAGTGGCAGCTGTAGCAGGAGGGGAAACAGCTGTAGCAGGAGGGGAAACAGCTGTAGCAGGAGGGGTGGCAGATGCAGTAGAAGCAGCAGCATTTGCAGCAGGGGGTTTGGCAGCTGTAGCAGGAGCGGTAACAGCTGTAGCAGGATGGGTGGCAGATGTAGCAAGAGGAGATTTGGCAGCTGTAACAGTAGGGGTGACAGCTGTCGCAGGGGAGGTGGCGGCTGTAGCAGGAGCGGAGGCAGCAGTGGTAGGAAGAAGGGAGACTGAAGCAGCAGGAGTCGCGGCTGTCGCAGGGGATGTGGCAGATGCAGCAGGAGGAGACGTGGAAGAGGGGGTGGAGGCTGTAGCACGGGGGGTGATGGCGGCTGTTACAGAGGGAGTGACGGCGGCTGTAGCAGCAGGGAGGGGAGACGCAATAGATGGTGTGAGAACAGCAGCAGGAGAACTGGCCGGAGTTGGGGCAAGGGAAGTAGCACCTGTAGCAAGGGCGGTGGCGGCTGTGGCAGGAGAAATGGCGGCTGCAGCAGGGGGAGTGACGACTGTAGCTCTGGCAGTGGATGCTGTTTTCACAGAAGCAATCCCTGCAACAGCAGCAGCAGCAGCAGCAGCAGCAGTAGTGGCGACTACTGTAACAGTACTATTAGTAGCAGCAGTGGTAGTAGTCACAATGGCTTTAGCAGGAGAATCATCAGCAGCACAAGCAGCAGTGGTGGTGGTGGGTTCAGCGGGAGGAATTTTTGCAGCAGCAGCAATATTAAGAGGAGGAGGCAGAGCAGGGGCTGATGCAAGGGCCGAAGCAGGGGCAGCAGAGGGAGAAACAACAGAAGGAGAAGAAACCGTAGCAGCACGGGCAGGAGTAGAAGAAGCAGCAGGGGCAGGAGCAGGCGCAGTTGGAGGAACAGCAGCAGCAGGAGAGGCAGCAGTGGCAGAAGCAGCAGCAGCAGCAGCAGCAGCAGGAGCAGGAGCAGGAGCAGGAGCAGAAGCAGGAGCAGGAGCAGAAGCAGGAGCAGGAGCAGGAGCAGGGATAGCAGTTGTAGCAGGTGTAGCATCGGCTGCAGGGGTGGACACTACAGTGGGAGCAAGGGAGGGAGCTGAAACAACAGGGAATGATGCAGAAGCGGCAGCAAGGGTACAAGCAGGGGCAGCAACAGAGACAGGAGCGGGGACAGTAGCAGCGGCAGAAGCAGGGACAGAAACAGGTGCAGAAGCAGAGGCAGAAGCAGAGACAGGAGCAGAGACAGAAGCAGAGACAGTTGCAGGGGCAGAAGCGGGGACAGAAGCAGGGGCAGAAGCGGTGACAGAAGCAGGGGCAGAAGCAGAGGCAGAAGCAGAGACAGCTGCAGGGGCAGAAGCAGGGGCAGAAGCAGGGGCAGAGGCAGGGGCAGAAGCAGAGACAGGAGCAGGGACAGCAGCAGGAGCAGCAGGTTCAGCAGCAGAGGCAGGGGCAGAAGCAGGAACCGCAGCTGGAGCAGTTGTAGCAGCTGTTGCAGCAGCGACGGCTGTAGCAGGAGGACCCACTGGAACAGGCGGAGCCCTAGCTTCAGGAAAGGATGAAGAAGATGCTGTTTGGACTGCTGTAGCGGCTGTGGTGGCAGTGGTGGCTGTAGCCGCAGCAACAACAACAGCAGCAGCGGCAGCAGGGGCAGAAGCCGAAGCAGCTGCAGCAGCAGCAGAAACGCCACTAGCTGCTTCTGGGGATGAAACCATGACTGGGGTCATAGCTACAGCCCCACCAGATGCAGCATCTCGGAAGAGCTTTACTGCCTCTCTCCCCTTCTCCTCCTCTCTCTTTCCGGTCTCCCTTTCACTTCGGCCCTTACCTCTTCCCAACTCATCTCCCCCCTCTCCCTTATCCCCTTCCTTAACCTGCTCTCTTTCCCCTGCTACTGTCACATCAGCCAACCCCTTTTTCCCTTCGTCCATATCACCACCCTTTGAAAGCACACGCTCAGGCTCAGCTCTTAATTGCTGCCCCTCACCATCCAAGCCCGCTTCTCCCGTCAACCCCTTCTGAACATCCTTTTTCTCCTTGCTCTCCTCCTTTGGTTCAGCACGCTCCTGTCTCTGCCCATCCCCAACCCCTGATTTCGCTCCTGCTATCTTCTTTGGCCACGTCGCCCCACCTCCCTTGAATTGAGCATGCTCCTGCTCCTGACCATCCCTATCCTTTCCAAGCTTCCCCTTTTCCTCTTGATTCGACTCGCAAGTCACCTCGCCTTCCTGTTCACGCATCCCCTTCCCCTCCTCCCCACGCACACCACCGCTGCCCGTCGTCTCATTCTGCTGAGCCACTGCTTCTGGCGCTTCCTGCTTTGCCTCCTCCTTTCCTTTCTCCTTTGCAATCTCCTCTGCTTTCGCCTTTGCTGTTTCCGCTGCTTTCCCCGTTGTATTCCCTTCCACTTCCTTGATTTTCTGCCCCACCTTCGCCTCTTCTTTCTCCTCCGTGATTTCCCCCATCCATGCTTTCTTCTCTGATTTCTCCTCTTCTTTCTCCTCCGTGATTTCCCCCATCCATGCTTTCTTCTCTGATTTCTCCTCTACTTTCTCCTTCGCCTCTTCTTTCTCCTCCTTGCCCTTCCCCATCCCTCCTTTCTCCTCTGCTTTCTCCTTCGCCCCTACATTCTCCTCCTTGCCCTCCCCCGTCCCTCCTTTCCCCTCTGCTTTCTCCACCCTGCTCTCCACCGTCCCTCGTTGCTCCCCTTGTCTCACTCCCTCCCTCCTCTCCTCCTTCACTTGGTCACTATCTTTCAACCCCTCCTTCTCCCCCACGTTCTTTTCCTCTCTCACCTCTTCTCTTCCCTCTTCTCTATCTCCTTTCTCATCATCACCCCCCTTCCCCTTCCCCTTATTCTCCTCCCTCCCTTCCCCTTTCCTCGCCTCCCTCCTCTCCCTCTTCTCCTTCCTCTTCCTCTCCTTCCTCTCCTCCCTCCTCCTACCCTCATCCTTCTCATCCTTCCCCTCCTTCTTCCCCTCCTTCCCCCCCTCTCTCCTCCTCTCCTTCTCCTCCTTCTCCTTATCCTCCCTCTTCCTCTTCGCCTCCTTCCCTTCCTCACTCTTCTCCCCCCGCCCTTCCACACTCCTCCTCCTCTCTCCCTCCTCCAGACTATTCACCCCCGGACTGGCCATACTCGCTATAGACTGACCCGGGCTTCCTTTTGAACAGCCGTCCATATTCACAGACATGTCAATACTCCCTCTAACCTGATCTGAGCTTTCGACCGGCTGTTCAGCATATTTCACACCCTCAACAGGGCTCCGTACCCGTTCCCCAAGTCTCTTCTCCTCAGGACTCTTAAAATCGGCAGGACTCTGCAATTTTCCAGGACTCTGTAAATCGCCAAGACACTTTTTTTCCCCAGGAATCTGTAACTCACCAGGAGTCATTGTATCGCCAGGACTCTTTTTCTCCTCAGGACTCTGAAAATCGCCCGGGCTCCTCAAAACCTCCGGACTTCTCATATTATCAAGGCTTTTGACTTCATCAGGACTTTTCATAGCATCCTTTAAGGGCTTCGCTCCTGGATCGGGGCTCATCATGCAGTGCTCAGGGCTCTTAAAGCCCTTCTCTCTGACCTCCGATCCTTTTCCTGAGTGTCCCGGGCTCAAAAGAGGCTGCTCACTCCTCTTCTCCCGCTTCTCTTCCTTTTCCCTCTTCTCCTTCTTCTCTTTCCTCTCTTTCGACTTCACATCCTGTCCTTCCTCGGTCTTCCTCTCCTTCCTCTTCCCCTCTCCTTTCTCCTCTGCTCTCCTTTCCTCCCTCCTCTCTCTCTTCTTCTCTTTCCGCCTCTCCTCGTCCTTTTCATCCCTCTTTCTCCTCTCTTTCTTCCTCTCCTCTTCATCTCCTCTCTTCTCCCTCTTCTCTGGTCTCTCTTCGCCTCGGCTCACCTCTCCTGTCTCATCCTTCCCCTTCTCTTCTTTCTTCTCATCCTTCACCTTCCCTTCCTTCTTCTCATCCTTGTCCTTTTCTTCCTTCCTCTTTTCGTCCTTCTTCTCCTTCCGCTCTCCATCCTTCTCTTTCCTCCTCTCCTTCTTTTGTTCACCCCCCTCCCTCTTCTCCTCCCTCTTATCCTTCTCCTTCTCCTTACTCTTCTTCGTCTCTTCCTCCTGAATCTCTCCTTCCTCCCCTGCTTCAACGCCTCTTCCTTTCTCCTTCCCCTTTTTGCACTCGTCAGCAGCAATCTCTCCCTCCTCCTCCTCTTTTCTCACAATCTCCTCTTTCCTTTCGTTCTCCTCTCTCCTCTCCTCTTCATTCCCCACTTTCTGTTTCCCCTCCCCCTTCACCTCACCACGATTCACTTCCTCCTTTTCCCTCTCCTCGCTCTTCTCTCCCTTCTCTTTCTTCTCCCCCCCCTCTTCCTCATGCCCTTTTCTCTTCTCATCCCCCTCCTCGATCTTAGCCCTCGTCTCCCTTCCTTTCTTCTGCAGATCCTCCTTCCCTCCCGTTCCCTTCCCCTCCTCCCTCTTCTCCTTCTTCTCTTTCTTCTCCTTCCCGTCCTTTCCCCCATTCTCCTTCCCCGCCTCCACCGTCGCCCCTTTCTCCTTCTCCTCCTTCCCTTTCCCTCTATCCTCCTCCCGCTCCTTCCCATTTCCCCTCGCATCCTTTCCCTCCTTCTCCTCCTCCCCTCCTTTCCCTCGCTCCTCCCTCTGTCCCTCCGCCTTCCCTTCCTTCGTTTCCCGTCGCTCCTTCCCCTCCTCCTCCCCTCCTTTCCCCTTCTTTCCGCCCGTCTCCTTCTCCTTCCTTGCGCCTTCGCTCGTTGTCTTTCCCAGTCCCACCATACCAATCACCTTCCCATCCATCCCTTGCTTCCCTCCCTCTTTCCCTTCTTCACCTCTCCCCCCGCCCTTCGGGTTCTTTCCCTTTCCATCCTTGTCCTCTCTCTCCCCCTTATCGCCTTTCGTCGTCCCCCCTTTATCACCTTTCATTGTCTCCCCTTTATCGCCTTTCACCGCCTCCTCTTTATCGCCTTTCAACGTCTCCCCCTTACCACCTTTCATCATCTCCCCTTTATCGCCTTTCATCGTCTCCCCTTTATCGCCTTTCACCGTCCACCCCTTATAACCTTTCAACGTCTCCCCCTTATCGCCTTTCACTGCCTCCCCCTTATCGCCTTTCACCGCCTCCCCTTTATCACCTTTCTCCCTCCCTCCCTTCTCAGCCTTCTCCTCCGCTTCTTGATCCCCTTTTTCCGGCCCTTTACTCCCTAACTCCTTCCTCGATTGCTTCTCTTCGCCTAACTCTTTAGTCTCCACGTCAGCATGATTTCCGCTCATCATGGCTGAATCTCCGGATGCGTTACAATCACCATCAATGCCACGCGCGGAGTTTCCCCTTCCGGACAGTTGAACACTCCCGCGACTTGCTTCCATGTATACGCGTTACAATCCGGGTGACTCGTTGTAAGACCGCTGTCTCGGTATAAGCTGGTTGACTTCTCCGCTAAGCACGCGACCACAGCTGCGGCGTAGAATGGTTACTTCTCTTCTTTACCGAGAGGACTAATAAACATGTCATCTGTTGGCTGAGACTATCGAACACTCGTCTCCTTACTTCCCGGCGGGCGTTCGGGCTCTTGGAATATAAAGCACGAGTCTCAATCGATGCGCGAAGCTTTTTCCTAATAGAGTCGATGCAAGCCGACACGGGCGATAAAAACGACTGACGGCGGCCAGGGCTCGCGACGGGTAACAACGTTACTGCTGTCATTCAGATCCGCGTCCGGACGAACGGCGAGAGATTTCTCTACCGCAAATACGGCCAATGCGTACAGAGATTACGGACAGACGGAGGCAGAAATAACGGACGCAGCTACGCAGGGGCTGCAGACGGAAAACGTGACGAGTCTGATGAAGATGGACGGACTGGGAGTTGTGTGGAGAAAGGAAATCCCAAGGGAATCCGCAACAGAACGAAAAGCTTCCCTTGCGATTCTCTCGGCTTTGATGGCAGGGGAGGGGGGAATTCTCAAGGGCAGGTTGTGGTCCAGCAATTATGGCATTTCACGCATAATGTTTTGATGAACACTGTACTCGTAAAACTCGACCAGATTTCATACAGTATAGCGGGTATGCTCCTGAGTGATTCCAAGAGTTGGATATGTCAGATCCGCCAATCCCGAGGGTTTCGGGGACTCGCAGCTCATGTGAAATGGCGCCAATCATCGCACTACAAATGAAGTGTGTTTCATACATTGCACAAGTCAATTTTGATTTTAAATACACTTAAGTGCATGACTTCAATGGATATGCTGGTGCAAATGGTACAACCATCCAATGCAGACCATATGAACATGAAGCGCAGAAAGAACACTGAAATCTGCAACACACAAATGACAACCAAGTATAACTAATGGGCATACTTCACTTTTCATGCCCAATCAAAGATTGTCACTGTCAGGTAGACACCATCCTTCTATGCTCGAGCTGCAGTTCCGGTCTAATGTCAATTGAACATGCCAGCTGAGGGGTCTGTCACGTCATGTCATATCACCTGTGATGTGATGATCCTTCCGCCGCTTATTACGTACTTGAGAGTATTCATCACTTCACGGTTTGAGGTTGAATGGGTCGCTGACCTGGTGGTACCACAAATCCAGCCACACATCTGGAACTCCTGGCAAGCACCACTTAGCACAGTCCATTTCCGTCGAACCTCCCGCCGGTCTATACGTCCCCACGTGTGCATCCGCCCTATAGAGCGACAGCGACAAGATGTTAAGCAGCTTCACCCGAGATTTCGATAACGCATTGATTTGCGCGTTGGTCCACGCGACAACGCTGCTCCGCGCCTTGGCTAGATCCGTGGCTGTACTCGACAAAGGTCCCGCGAAAAGCGCACAAGTGGTGTCGGCGTATTGGAACATGTTTGGCATGTGCGCGGGCGGGATGGAGAGCGCGTAGGGCTGAACCAGCATGACGTTGGACTTGATGTAATCTGCGATGTTCCGCAGCACTATGTTGAGTGCCGCGATGCCGCTGGGCTGCGAGGCAATCGCCCGGCCCTTGCTGTAATACGTGCGGTTGGAGGATTCCTGGAGGAGGAGAGGGATGGGGAGAGGAGGGGGGGGAGGGTGGGGAGGGGAGGAAGGGGGAACAAGGGGGAGGAGGTGGGGGTAAAGATTTGAGTTTAGGCAGAGAGTGAGCGGGCTGGGGGGATGGAGAGCGCGTAGGGCTGAACTAGCATGACGTTGGACTTGATGTAATCTGCAATGTTCCGCAGCACAATGTTAAGAGCAGCGATGCCGCTAGGCTGCGAGGCAATCGCCCGGCCCTTGCTGTAATACGTGCGGTTGGAGGATTCCTGGAGTGCATGTGGGGAGTGGAGGAGGGGAGGAGGGGGGGAGGAAAGGGGAAAAGAGCAGGAGGAAGAGGGGGGTGGGGGGGAAGGGGTAAGGGGGGAAGGGGAGGGGGTGTGGGTGTGGGAGGGGATAGTCTCAGGTGTCGCCTAACAGCTGCGAATTTGGAATTAGAAACAATAGGGAGTATTATGGAGAATAGTAGGAACAGTGAATAAGAATGTTGTCCTCCTAAGGACTTGCAACTTTACCAACGACATGGAGTCTGAGGCGCGTCACAAGGGATCACACACGAATCAGGTTCCAAGACCTGTCATCTGAAATCTTGTAACTCAACGGAACACATGTGATGATGATAATCACGGAATGAGGAAGTTCAAGGGCTTGTCTCCAGGCTTACCGCATAGTAAGAGCCAGCCACGAGGATGGATCACCTCCTTCTTTTCTCGGGTTAACAAAAAGTCCACGACGACATGTCATGACACGAGAATGAGGAAGTTCCAAGGGCTTGATTCCAGGCTTACCGCGTAGTAAGAGCCGGCCACGAGGATGACTGATCGCAGCCCTTTGAGTGTTTCTGTTAGCTTGTGGTTGATTTTGTCCACGTGCACCATCCATCCATCCTTCACAGATCGCTTCAACTGATGTTGGATGGGGAAATGGGAGGAACGAAAGCAGATTTCGACTGGTTTAGGCGAGCTAACAGTGAGAACTCGCATACGGGATTTTCTCGAAAACGAATGGGAAACAACAGCCAACAGCGGAACTTAGAATAAGAAAACTGTATAAACGAGAAAGGGTGCATATTACAGTGCACCTTCTGCAGAAGTTATTATAGGAGGGATTCTCTTACCGGGTCCATTGGATCCGCTTCGGTGAGGAACGGTGCGTGCACGAACACGACCTTCACCCCCCAAGGCTTGACCTTGAAACCATCGCCGGTCCAGCCAATCGTAGACGGATTGAAACTCTGCAGGGAAAAAGAGGCGGGAAGCATAATTGCTTAACAATGTAGCAAGAGCGATGCGGGTCAGTCACAGTAGCGAAAAGCGTTTTCATGTATTGTGGGAATAGGGTGTCATGCTGGGCTAAGCACACTTTCTCTTAGAATTGTCATGCGTTTTCATGTATTGTGGGAATTGGGTGTCATGTTGCTTGATTACAGATAATTCCTTCCTTCCAGTTCTTACCTCGGTCTTAAAGTTCGCAGCTTCTAGGCGACATCTGAGCGACTGGTACATGTACAGCCCAGAATTGTCGCCCACGATCGCCACGGCCTGGCCAACGAAAGTCATCGCGAATTTCTTCGCGTCAAACCGAACCAGCTTGCAACCCGATGGCTTCCACTCGAAGTGGCGAAAGTCGCCGTCCGGTCGCCCGTTTTTTTCGCAGTTAAACTCCTGGCTAATGTACGGACACGAGGAATCGTATACCGGGTACTTGGTCGACGGGGCCCAGCTGTAGTTGGGAAGGGTGTAAAACAGGGGGTGGATGTTGATGAAAGATACATAGAAACAAGTGGGGGAAGCAGGGATGGGAAGAGTGAAAAGGGGATGGCGGATTTCGGGTTCCGGTTGGACGCAGGGACGGGCTGTCTCGCGTACGAGATTGGTGTATCGGGCGGCAGACTTATCACCTCTTGCCCATGCAATACTTAAAACTGAACAGAGAGGCCTGACAACGCTACAGGTCCGCCAGCCGCTTACCTCCCGACGGAGAGGTCACATGCCTTCTTCTTCTTGCCGCCAAACCCGGGAAATCCGGCATATGCCACGTGGAGGCACACCAGGAGAAGCGCGCCGATGAGGATAGTTCTGACAGGCCGCATCATGCTCGCAGTATAGATTCCCTTCTGGTAATATGGTAACCCTATCGGCGAAAGCGTGAGAGGAGATTTTGGCCTTCACACGAAAGTGCCGCAAGCGAAAGGGAAGGCTGTACGCGTTACAAGTATGCGAGCGCGCGAGGGCTGTGATGCCTACGTACGAAGAGTTCCGCTTAGCTGGTAGGGCGCCGGTGCTTTGAACCGCCTTAGCTGATCGTTTTGGTTGCAAAGGATCGTTTTGGCTGCAAAGGGATGCTCGCCTGTAAACTACCAGTTCCAAACAGCTAGGGGCGAAGATCGGCAATCAAGTGCTTCCGCAGCAACTGGGAATGATAGTTACTATCGTTGCCTCTAAGAGTCAGCGAGAACAGTATATCTGAATGGCAGTGTTAGCTGGCGAGAGAACGCATGCATTACAACTTCACTGAAGCGGTGAAGGGCTATCGCAAGAAATTCATTCTTGCTGAAGTGCTACGCTTAAGAGGTAGTAAGCATGAGCGCGAGCCCAAGAAATTTACACAGCCTACGGCGAATGATTCTTGAAAGTGATGGGAGCCGGAGTGTAGTGACAAAACGTGCGAAAGGTATGGGGGAGGAAGAGCAAGGGTGCACTGCTGGCTTCCTTGGCAACGGCAGAAAAAATTGGCGGGGGCGCAATTTTGCGAGAGAGGGGTGAAACGTGATGCCTGAAATGTGGATTGAATAGTTGCGACGTTTCAAGCCTGGATTATTAAGATGGGTGGATCTAGTCGACATGATTGGAAAGGTGGATTGTCATCTGTCGGTGGGGTTCGTGGATGCTGGTATTCAGTGACCTACACGAAGAAGGAGCTTCCGGGCGCATCTAGGACAGTACATGATACGGCGCGAAAGGGTAACGGAAAACTAGCCATGGACCTCGGAAATGTTTGACGGCTGGAGAAAAGCTCAGGCGTCGATGCTATGGTGAGGTGATCCATGTCTGGTTTTGACGAACCTCCATGGCAAGTGCATGCGGTGGTATTGTGGGTGGATTGCGGTGAAGTCGATGGAAGGAGAAGGTGCGGGGAGATTGACGAGAGGATGAAAGTTGAATCTGAGGAGGGAAGAATTTCGTTTCACAAATCCAATTTGGCGGTCCGCAATCTTCACCAATATGTGCGCCTCGTCGAAATTGACGCTCTCGATTTAGCGTCTCGCAATTGATGGACGGCTGAATTGAGTCATACTTTTTCGGGAGTTGGCGGGAGGTGGTTTGGTTCGCCAGCTGTCCGTTTGCCCCTTCATTTGAAAAACCTTGAAAAAAGCGCGAACAAGTTAGGCGGTCAAAATATAATATTCAGGCAAAACATCACATCCGTACCCAGGATGCCTGTTAGATAACTACAGTTTTTCTCGTCATCTGGGTTTTTAGTGAGCGCGAGCGAGTCGCCTGCTCGCCAGCGTTCGCCACGGGAAAAATCGGGACAGTAGTGGGAAGTTGAAGAAATGTAACCAGCATCTCAAAATATCTTACGAACGGACAGATGCCAGCGTGATTAGGTGGATGTTCAACGGCTGCGATCCTAATAGGGGCTTGTATCGTGCGTGCAACTGGCTGGTAGCAAATGTAATTGGCAGGCTGACAAAATTGGAAAGACCAATTTTTGCATGCAGCAGCTGAATATCCTGTGTAGTTGGCAAACATGACGAAGTTGAATCTAGGTATGACAAGCCATCGAGTTTCTGGAGCATCTTGTTTCGAAGACCGGCTTGTACTCGCTATTATCCCTCGAATAATTTCAGTTTGGAGTGATTTCGGTATGCCCAAAACAAACCATTGTGAAGAAAAAATCACCAGGTAGAAAGATATACAAAACGTCAGATATTTTTCTTCCAGTTGTCTCACCCATTCACAAGATGCTTGTGGCTTTAGTCATGGCTCCCCAAAAATAAGAGTTGATTGAAGGCTTCACCAATAGCACAATGCATTACACGTGCATCTCATTCATAACCAGCACCAGTCAGACCAGCAAAGCAGCAGCCAGCACCAGCTGACAGGTTGCCTATTCGGCCAGGACGGACTGTGAACTGCCCTTCTAAAGATACAAGTCAGGAAACCATTACGTATGTCAAGAGGTGTCTACTTGATCTTCTTCTTGGGCCTCAGCTGCACAAAGGGACATGGGACAGAAGGGGACATGGAACAGTACGGAAGAAACAAGAGTAGGTGGAGGAACAAGGCAAGTGAGGAGTCAGGGGGGGGAAGTTGGGACAGTTGCATCTGGTCATAAGCGGGATTGCACCCGTCACATTCTGTCAGCCTGCAGAATCAAACCTTGCTACAGCTGTGAAAACGAACGCTACAGCTGTGGAATCAACTCCTTCCACCAAGCTGCCACAGCCTGCAACCTGCATGCTTGCTTTGCTACAGCTGCCAGGAAAAGAAGGGCACCCAAATGTTTCTACGGCTGCCAGCAGCATTACTACAGCAACGCCGCATGTACATAAAGTCAGTCAGTACACCGCGTGTTTCATCTTACATATTGCTATTGCCCACGTGGATGGTGTGATGGCAACAGCTACAGCCTGCCGTAGTTTCTACAGCCTTCCTACCTAATTGCTACAGACGGCCCACCTGGTCGTTACAGCCTACCTACCCAGTCCCTTTCAGCCAGCCAACCTGCTCAGTACAGCTCGCCGCTACACACCTGGTTGTTGTCGCCAACCCACCTGGTCGCTACAGAATGCCGCTACAGCCTGCCGCGACAGCCTGCCACTACAGCCTGCCACTACAGCCAGCCGCTACAGAATGCCACTACAGCCTGCCCCCCATGCACTTCTTCCTGCAGATCACAGAGCGCGGGTGCAGGCGATCATGGCCTGCCTACCAGGTCGCTACAGCCTGCCACTATAGCCTGCCTGCTCACCTGGCCGCTACAGCCTGCCTGCTCACCTGGCCGCTACAGCCTGCCTGCCACCTGGCCGCTACAGCCTGCCTGCCCACCTGGCCGCTACAGCCTGCCTGCTCACCTGGCCTCTACAGCCTGCCTGCTCACCTGGCCGCTACAGCCTGCCTGCTCACCTGGCCGCTACAGCCTGCCTGCCCACCTGGCCGCTACAGCCTGCCTGCCACCTGGCCGCTACAGCTTGCCCACCTGGTTGGTGTGGCCGCACTTCTTCCTGCAGTTCACATCACACTGCGCGGTGCGGGTGAGCGTAGCATATCCAGGCTTCCTTACCTGGTCGCTACAGCAGCCGCTACAACCGGCCCACCTGATCGCTACAGCCTGTCAACCCACCTGGTTGGTGTGGCCACACTTCTTCTTCCTGCAGTTCACAGCGCGCGGGTGCAGGCGAGCGTAGCACCTGGAAAGGGCAGGAAGACGGGAGGCCGGGGGGGAAAGGAGGGATCAGGGGGGTTGTTGAAAAACCGCACACAGCGCGCGGGTGCAGACGAGGGTAGCACCTGGAAAAGGCAATACATTGGTGGAGCAGGGGCGAATCAGGGGCAGACAGGACGGGGCGGGCCGGTGAGGGGGGGAGGGATCTTAGCGACAATTAATTCGTTGCACAAACAACTGATTTGCGGCAGATCAGCTCATCGTCGGTGTACTTGCGAGCAAGCGCCATGAGAAACGCTTTGTTCTCGTTGAAGGACGTTAAAAAGAACCGCAGAAAATTTACGAACTCACTTGCGGCAGATCATCTTATCGGCGTTGTACTTGCGAGCGAGCGCCATGAGAGAAGGCTCGATGATTCCTCCTCGCAGCCGCAGCACCAAGTGCAGCGTTCGGACTCTGAAATCGCAAGGGGGAGGGAGGCGTGGGGGGGATGTGGGGGAGGGACACACAAAAGAGGGACACACAGTGGAAAATCCATGAGCAAGGCTCGATGATTGCACCACGCAGCCGCAAGCGGAGGGCGTGATAGGGAAGTGATTGTAACAGGGAAAGAGCGAGGAATACACAAATTGCGACAGGAAGTGAAGGGATGCGAGAAAGGACGAAGAGAAGAGGCGGAAGAGGGGACGGAGGTGGGGAACGAGAGAAACGAGAGGAAGAGGGGTGAGAGAGATGGGCGGGAGAGGGGAGGGGGGGTGGTGGGAAGAAGAGCCGAGTCTCGCGAATCATCAGCGCGACACATCAGAATCGTACCCTTCTGAATGTTGTAGTCGGCAAGAGTGCGGCCGTCCTCGAGCTGCTTGCCGGCGAAAATCAGCCGCTGCTGGTCGGGAGGGATGCCTGGAGGGGCATAGAATAACCGGGGAGATAAGAACACGGGGAAGGAAAAGGGGGGAGCGGGGGGTGGGGAAAAGTCGGTGAGATAACACGGCGACGACCTAACGCTGTTATACTTCGGCAGCTTTTGTCGAACTAATTCGACGTTTGGAGGGTGCGAGAATATATGCGAACGCGCGTACTTCAATAGACCGTCTAGCCCGATTGCAACGCGCAATGGTTAACCTCCCTCGTGCAAAGTGGCGCCTCATATTACATTCTCAGCTGAGGCAGATTTATGAGGCTCTGAAAGAAGAACCGCAAGAAAGTCGAGTAGATCCCGTCCCCATCTGCAAGAACTCTACATGTTCAGTGAAAACTCGTCTTGAATCCTTATCCTTATCCCTCTGCAAGGCTTCCCATTCCCGTTCGCCCCTATCAGTAGCGCACTGCTGACCATCACACTTTACTTGTAATGCCTGCCCTCTTAGCCGTGCGGAAGTACAGTTCGAGTCGACCTAAAAAAAAAGGGCCCCAAAGCCGAAGAAACGACGCTCTGCAAGCAAATGCCTTTTTTCAGACCTACACTGACAGAAAAGGGAAACCGACGCCGATGTATCCTGGTCAGTCGTTAACGAACGCAGTCAACGGATGTCTGAGAACCGTAACTTGAAAGAAGGAGTGTTTTGAGCCGTCTCAAAACACTCCTTCTTTCACGGAAGGGGAGAAAGGGGATGAGAAGGGAAGATACAGAGGTGCTGGGTGTTTTGAGACGTCTCAAAACACTCCTTCTTTCACGGAAGGGGAGAAAGGGGATGAGAAGGGAAGATACAGAGGTGCTGGGTGTTTTGAGACGTCTCAAAACACTCCTTCTTTCACGTAGTCAACGGATGTCTGAGAACCGCAACTTGACATCGGAGGCACTCTGGATGCCCTTAGAAGTTAGATACCGGTCTTAGAAGCAACTAAGATACGCGTACGTCGAATAGGCTTACGCGTTTTGACTTAATTGGCATCAAATAGAGGGTGAACGGAGTAAATAAAGGAGAAAACCAGCTCAGATTCGACAAGAGAGAATCCCATTCATTGACTCTAAACGTTTCTGATCAGTCCACAAACCCCCGGTAGTCACGCGACTTACCCTCCTTGTCCTGGATCTTGGCCTTGACATTGTCGATGGTGTCGCTGCTATCATGCAACTCAAGGCAATACACTCTTACTTACCAACCCAGCGACAGACAGGCAAAAGCTACAAAATCCGCGACTCACCCTCCTTGTCCTGGATCTTGGCCTTGACATTGTCGATGGTGTCGCTGCTCTCGACCTCGAGAGTGATGGTCTTGCCCGTCAGGGTCTTCACGAAGATCTGCATCTTGCTCACCACTCAGCACCGCTTTGTACCTGCACGAACAGTCAGGATCGACTGTTAAGAGACGGAAGCACTACGATACCTTCATCATATGATTAAGGTTAACGCGGTAAAGGAAATGAGACGGCTGACCTTGACGATCCCTGCTCATAGTCCTAAATGTCATGCGACAAACTCTAGGTAAAGGACTAAACGTACGTTGGCGGTACTCTCGTTACAACAGCGTTAGAACCTGTCTCTTGATTCAAGATTAACGTGGAAGTACTAAGAAACACTGAGTTATATCTTCCGATGGCTGACAGAGCTACGACTCGAGCGGGAAACCTAAACTCTTACCTGAGTTAGGGGGATTGGAGGAAACCAGAGAGAGGGGGAAGGAAGCGTTAGGCGGAGAAGAAAGGGAAGGAAGAAGGGGATGGGAGGGAAGGTCGCGTGATAATAGAGACCGTGACAACAACGAGCCGAGACAAGAGTCCTTCGATAGAGAATACACACATACTGTCCATTTTGCGAAAGCTAACGGGACGAAATCAGGGAGCTGGTAACACCCTGCTAAACCCAGTGCAAGGGGCATGGGCTGGGAGGGGCCGATGCTTAGAAAAGCATTGACTTTTTGGGATGCGCAAATCACTGGCGGCTGAGCTGGGTTTGTTCGTCGACGTTAACAATTGTGCGGCAATGAGCGTGAACAATAAGCAGAACTCGTTTTTCCATTGTACATAAGGTGATAAGGTGAAAAATTCCTCTCCTCTCACATACGGTGTTGAATTATCTAATTGATTTTGGAAACCCTCATACTTGCAACTTCACAACATTTACTTTTATATGCTGTATTAGAAGGGTGTTTTCCAAGCAAGTGTGACCAGCTGGGTATCCTGGTGGATGCACATCAATTTCTATATCGCGTGATCAGCAAGGTGAGGGCTGAAGTAGATTCTTTAGTATCCAACAGAAAGGTACTGGTGGCTATCAGATACAGTAAATCAGCAGTAACTAATGGTATGCAGCGGCCTCGGCTTTTAGCTCCTCAATGAATTCCGCAACGGACTTTGTGCCATGAACCACATTGTCCCTTGTGCGAACATTCACCTGTTATGAAGAAACAGTTTACACACATGATGGGACACTTGTTATTCTGGGAAAAAAATGACAGAATTGCACCGTGCAAAATCCGTCACTTCCCCACATTACCAGCTAAGTTTGAGTCACCGAGCCCTGTGCCTCCTCAGCTCCCATCACGAGGATGTAGTTGAACTGACTCCACTTCCCCTCTGTCACTACTCCATGAGTCATCTCACCCAACTCCCTGAGCTCTCTACAGCAAACCATTCAATTCTCAACTCAACGAGCCCTGTGTATCCTCCTCCTCACCCACCACGAGGATGCTGTTGAACTGACTCACTTCCCCTCTACCTCTACTCCTTGCTCCCTCATATTCCCTCATACTCCCTCATACCACATACTCACTCATCTCCCCCAGCTACCTCAGATCTCTCAAGCTACCAGCCAAGCCCAACTCACCGAGCCCTGCGCCTCCTCCTCCGCGCCCACCACCAGGATGTAGTTGAACTGGGCCAGCTGGGCTTCATACTCCCTCATACTCCCTCATACTCCTCTGACTCCCTCATCTCCCCCATCTCCCTCCGCTCTCTGAAGTTCAACTACCAGTAAACTTCACCTCACTGAGCCCTGTGCCTCCTCCTCAGCCCCAACCACCAGGATGTAGTTGAACTGACCTTCACTTCCCCTCTGGCAGTACTCCATGACTCCCTTAGCTCTCTGAAGCAAACCATTCAATTCTCAACTCACCGAGCCCTGTGCCTCCTCCTCCGCGCCCACCACCAGGATGTAGTTGAACTGGGCCAGCTGGGCCTCCCGCACCTGTGACAATAGCGGGTCACGGGTGTGACATTCGCAGGTGAGACAATAGCGGGTGTGTTATTCGCAGGTGAGACAATAGCGGGCATTACAATAGCGGGTGTGGACACTAGCAGGTGTGACAGTAATGATGGGTCAAAATGGGTTCAGTTTCAGTTCAGCATGTCAGGTGAGAGATAACCGGCGGAAAGAAATAGGAGCTATTAGAGTAGTGGAGTTGCATGCAAAAGCACAGCATCATCAGAGGTACAATGAAAGTTGCAGTTGCAGTGTAACAGTGCTTTTGAGTCGACTCAAAAGAAGAAATAGGAGCTATTAGAGTAGTGGAGTTGCATGCAAAAGCACAGCATCATCAGAGGTACAATGAAAGTTGCAGTTGCAGTGTAACAGTGCTTTTGAGTCGACTCAAAAGAAGAAATAGGAGCTATTAGAGTAGTGGAGTTGCGTGCAAAAGCACAGCATCATCAGAGGTAAATGAAAGTTGCAGTTGCAGTGTAACAGTGTAACCAGAAAACGAACCTTCTTCTGAAGCTTCCGGTCGGAGAGATCGGCCTCGACATCAAAGCCAGCAGCATGGATCTCATCCCGCACCTGAAAACGCATATCATAATCAGACATCAAAGGACATAATAAAGAATCAGAATAAAGATAAAACATCAACAGTAACACGCACAGCTTTTGAGAACCCTCAAGCTCTACATAAAGGTGAAAGAACATACTGGAACATGGAAACATTGTCTGGGAGAAGGCACACAGTGACCTTCTGGGGACCGCTATTTGTCTACCTTGGTGTGTGCGTGCACCCTCTCAGAGGAGCACCCCAACCATAACAGTCACATTGCTGCACTGCAACGAGCGTACCTTGGTGGTGCATTGTATACAAGCCGTCCCACCAACTCACCTTGGTGGCGTATATGGAGTACTTTTTGGAGACGGGGCACACGGTGACCTGGCGGGGACTCAGCCAGAAAGGCCACTGATGAGGTTCATGCACCACCTCTTACAGTAACAGCCCATTCTAGTCACGCAACTAGCGTATACGAGCTTAGCCGTCCCATTTACTAACCTTGGTGGCGTATTGCGAGTACTTCTCAGAGACGGGGCACACGGTGACCTGGCGGGGGCTCAGCCAGTGTGCACCCGTAAAGAGTACCAACCCAACCATACAGTCACATTGCTGGAGTAGAAAAGAGTGTACCTTGGTAACGTATAGGGAGTACTTCTCAGAGACGGGGCACGCGATGACCTGGTAGCCACACACACCCTCACACGGGGTGCCTATCCCTCTCAAGCCTCACCTTGGTGGCGTATTGCGAGTACTTTTCGGAGACGGAGTACACGGTGACCTGGCGGGGACTCAGCCAGAAAGGTGCGTGCACCCTTGACAGGAGCAACACATAACAGTCACATTGCTGCTGCAGTGACAAGAGAGTGCATACGAACTAGAAAACGTACCTTGGTGGCGTATTGCGAGTACTTCTCAGAGACGGGGCACACGGTGACCTGGCGAGGGCTCAGCCAGAAGGGCCACTTGCCAGCGAAGTGCTCCAGGAGGATGGCAAACATGCGCTCCACTGAACCCAGGATGGCACGATGGATGATGACCTGGGAGAGTGGGTTGCAAGGCACGAGGGAGAGGCGGAAAAGGGGAGTGAGAGGGACAGAAGAGGGGCTGAGAAGCCAGAAGGGCCACTGGCTCGTGACTGAGCTGAAGTTCTCCAGGCCCCCAAAGAGCTTGAAGCTTGATGGTTTCGGTCCCACGTACCGGGGGCTTCCTGCCTGCGGCCTCATCGTCAGCAGAGTATTCCAGTTTGAAGCGGATGGGAAGTTGAAAATCGAGCTGGATGGTGGCGCACTGGTGCTTCCTCCTTGGGCTTCACGGCTCAACACTCAACACTCACTGGCCTACAGCGTGCGGTCTATTGGTTTCAGAGCACACGCTATTGGTTTCAGAGCACACGTACGGTCGCTTCCTCCCTGCAGCCTCATCGTCAGCGGAGTATTCAAGCTTGAAGCGGATGGGCAGTTGGAAGTCGAGCTGGATGGTGGCGCACTGGTGCTTCCTCCTTGGGCTTCACGGCTCAACACAACACTCACTGGCCTACAGCGTGCGGTCTATTGGTTTCAGAGCACACGCTATTAGTTTCAGAGCACACGTACCGGTCGCTTCCTCCCTGCAGCCTCATCGTCAGCGGAGTATTCAAGCTTGAAGCGGATGGGCAGTTGGAAGTCGAGCTGGATGGTGGCGCACTGGTGCTTCCTCTTGAGCGCATCATACACCATGATGTCAATCTTGGGCCCGTAGAACGGAACGCCCCCACCTCCACTCTACCCACCTGTACAACAGGGCTTCTGACTGCCCTGTTGTTGACCACTTTTCTCCCACCGACAGACAGCCTGCGGCCTGATGGACTCGGGCTCACACTCACCGGTCAGGCTCACACTCACCGGTCAGGCTCACACTCACCGGTCGCTTCCTGCCGGCTGCCTCGTCGTCAGCAGAGTATTCGAGCTTGAAACGGATGGGCAGCTGGAAGTCTCTTTGAGGCGCCTCAACAGCCAGCAGAGGACGTGTTTCACACTCACCGGTCGCTTCCTGCCGGCTGCCTCGTCGTCAGCAGAGTATTCGAGCTTGAAACGGATGGGCAGCTGGAAGTCTCTTTGAGGCGCCTCAACAGCCAGCAGAGGACGTGTTTCACACTCACCGGTCGCTTCCTTCCGGCTGCCTCGTCGTCAGCAGAGTATTCGAGCTTGAAACGGATGGGCAGCTGGAAGTCTCTTTGAGGCGCCTCAACAGCCAGCAGAGGACGTGTTTCACACTCACCGGTCGCTTCCTGCCGGCTGCCCGTCGTCAGCAGAGTATTCGAGCTTGAAACGGATGGGCAGCTGGAAGTCTCTTTGAGGCGCCTCAACAGCCAGCAGAGGACGTGTTTCACACTCACCGGTCGCTTCTTTCGGCTGCCTCGTCGTCAGCAGAGTATTCGAGCTTGAAACGGATGGGCAGCTGGAGAAGTCTCTTTGAGGCGCCTCAACAGCCAGCAGAGGACGTGTTTCACACTCACCGGTCGCTTCCTGCCGGCTGCCTCGTCGTCAGCAGAGTATTCGAGCTTGAAACGAAAGGGGCTGGAAGTCTCTCTCTGAGGCGCCTCAACAGCCAGCAGAGGACGTGTTTCACACTCACCGGTCGCTTCCTTCCGGCTGCCGTCGTCAGCAGAGAGTATTCGAGCTTGAAATACAATGGGCAGCTGGAAGTCTCTTTGAGGCGCCTCAACAGCCAGCAGAGGACGTGTTTCACACTCACCGGTCGCTCCTGCCGGCTGCCTCGTCGGTCAGCAGAGTATTCGAGTGAAACGGATGGGCAGCTGGAAGTCTCTTTGAGGCGCCTCAACAGCCAGCAGAGGACGTGTTTCACACTCACCGGTCGCTTCCTGCCGGCTGCCTCGTCGTCAGCAGAGTATTCGAGCTTGAAACGACGGATGGGCAGCTGGAAGTCTCTTTGAGGCGCCTCAACAGCCAGCAGAGGACGTGTTTCACACTCACCGGTCGCTTCCTGCCGGCTGCCTCGTCGTCAGCAGAGTATTCGAGCTTGAAACGGATGGGCAGCTGGAAGTCTCTTTGAGGCGCCTCAACAGCAGCAGAGGACGTGTTTCACACTCACCGGTCGCTTCCTGCCGCTGCTCGTCGTCAGCAGAGTATTCGAGCTTGAAACGGATGGGCAGCTGGAAGTCTCTTTGAGGCGCCTCAACAGCCAGCAGAGGACGTGTTTCACACTCACCGGTCGCTTCCTGCCGGCTGCCTCGTCGTCAGCAGAGTATTCGAGCTTGAAACGGATGGCAGCTGGAAGTCTCTTTGAGGCGCCTCAACAGCCAGCAGAGGACGTGTTTCACACTCACCGGTCGCTTCCTTCCGGCTGCCTCGTCGTCAGCAGAGTATTCGAGCTTGAAACGGATGGGCAGCTGGAAGTTCTTTGAGGCGCCTCAACAGCCAGCAGAGGACGTGTTTCACACTCACCGGTCGCTTCCTGCCGCTGCCTCGTCGTCAGCAGAGTATTCGAGCTTGAAAAAGTGATGAATGGGCAGCTGGAAGTCTCTTTGAGGCGCCTCAACAGCCAGCAGAGGACGTGTTTCACACTCACCGGTCGCTTCCTGCCGGCTGCCTCGTCGTCAGCAGAGTATTCGAGCTTGAAACGGATGGGCAGCTGGAAGTCTCTTTGAGGCGCCTCAACAGCCAGCAGAGGACGTGTTTCACACTCACCGGGCTCTCCGCCGGCTGCCTCGTCGTCAGCAGAGTATTCGAGTTGAAACGGATGGGCAGCTGGAAGTCTCTTTGAGGCGCCTCAACAGCAGCAGAGGACGTGTTTCACACTCACCGGTCGCTTCCTGCCGGCTGCTCGTCGTCAGCAGAGTATTCGAGCTTGAAACGGATGGGCAGCTGGAAGTCTCTTGAGGCGCCTCAACAGCCAGCAGAGGACGTGTTTCACACTCACCGGTCGCTTCCTGCCTGCGGCCTCGTCGTCCGCCGAGTATTCCAATTTTGAAGCGGATGGGCAGTTGGAAGTCGAGCTGGATGGTGGCGCACTGGTGCTTCCCTCTTGAGCGCATCATACACCGTGATGTCAATCTTGGGCCCGTAGAACGCCCCGTCGCCCGCGTTGATCTGCCACGGCCGCCCGAACGCGTTTAGGGACTTCGTGAGGGCCGCTTCGGCGCGCCGGTCCCACGTCTCCACCTCCCCAGATGCTTCTCTGGGCGCTGGTGGGATGGGAGACGATGGGATGGCAGGGATGGAAGGTGGGGGAGACAAGACAGGCGCACAGTGAGAAAGTGAGTGCTTTCCCTCTGTAGAACGCCCCGTCTCCCGCGTTGATCTGCCACGGCCGCCCAAACGCGTTCAGCGACTTGGTCAGGGCAGCCCGGCGCGCGCGGTCCCACGTCTCCACCTCACCCAGGTGCTGCTCTGGGCGCTGGAGGACAGGGAGGCGGGGTGGATGTGGGAGACAGGCACACAGTGAGGAGGAGTGAGTGCTTCCCTCTGTAGAACGCCCCGTCGCCCGCGTTGATCTGCCACGGCCGCCCCGAACGCGTTCAGGGACTTGGTGAGGGCGGCCACTGCACGGTCCACGTCTCCACCTCCCCACCAGGTGCTTCTCTGGACGTGAATGGGGAACGGGAGAGGGGGAGGAGAAAACGCGTTCAGCGACTTGGTCAGGGCGGCCTCTGCACGGTCCCACGTCTTGACTTCCCAGGTGCTTCTCTGGGCTCTGGAGGAACGGGAGGAGGGAGGAGGGAAGTGGGAGACAGGCACACAATGGGTGAGTGCCTTCCCTCCATCAGTAGAACGCCCCGTCGCCCGCGTTGATCTGCCACGGCCGCCCGAAGCGTTTAGAGACTTGGTGAGAGCAGCTTCGGCTCGGTCCCAGCAGTGTATAGGCTTATGGGCTTGAGGTCGAAGATGAAACCCAAGACGCCGTAGACAGTCTGCAGGAAGTCCAGCGCACGTCACTCACCTCCGCCCACACTCACACACACATGCTGACAAACCCTCTATGCGCCACAGTGCATGGGCTGATGGACTCACCGTACCGTAGAGAGCTCCAAATCGAAGGTGAAGCCAAAGATGCCGTAGACAGTCTGCAGCAAGTCCAGCAGTGAGGCACGGCACTGCAGAGCACCACTTTCTCACACTGTAAGGAGCAGCTTCACTTCACGCTCACCGTAGACAGCTCCAGGTCGAAGGTGAAGCCAAAGATGCCGTAGACGGTCTGCAGGAAGTCCAGCACGTCACTGACCTCCTCTTCTACCCATCCCACCCAACCTGATCCCACCCACCCCTGATCCACCCAACCACACACACACATAGGCCCATTACTCACCGTGGATAGCTCCAGGTCGAAGGTGAAGCCAAAGATGCCGTAGACGGTCTGCAGGAAGTCCAGCACGTCACTGACTTCTGCCTCCACCTGGGTCTCCTCAAAAAGATGTGCGCATCGTCTGGGAGTGAGGGGAAACAAGACAAGGCAAGACCAGGGAGGGTGGGGAGAGGGAGGAGGACAGCAGGGGAATTAGAGATAGCAGGTCAGAAGTGAAGCGCCGCTCACAGCACGTCACTGACCTCCGCCTCACCTAGCTTCCTCACAGAAGATGCGCATCGTCCTGGGTGGGGGAGCAGGGGGTGGTTTGGGGTGAAAACACGAGAGCAAGCAGGGAAGAAGAAGGTGCATGGTGGGCATGGAGCCGCTTTGACAGCATGTCGCTCACCCCTGCCGCCAGCCCCTCACCTGTCGCAACCTGCACACAACGCGTGAGGCCGGTGAGAGCGCCACTGAGCTTTGACCAGCTGACCTCTTGCCACAGCTAAGCCACTACCTTCTAGGTAACCCGTGCCTGCCAGCCAGCCAGCCCCCTCCTGCTCCCCAGTTAGAACTTCCCCAGTCAGCCCCTCACCTGCTGGAACCGTCGCACGCGTGTGAGGGCCGTGAGAGCACCAGAGAGCTCGTTGCGGTGCAGCACCCCGAAGTCAGCGAAGCGGAGTGGCAGCTCTGGTGGGGGACAGGAGAAGGGATGGAAGAGGGAAAAGGGGGGGGATGAAGGGAGGGGGGATGAAGCAAGCAAGTGAGAGCGCCAGAGAGCTCATTGCGGTGGAACACGCCAAAGTCAGCGAATCGGAGGGGCAGCTCTGGTGAGTTCAGGAGAAAGGGATAAGGGTATGGATGCAGGGGAACAAAGAGGGCGGTCATGGCTTGAGCCAAAACTCCAGCCCTTGTAACTGCACAAACACTGCACCGCACCGCACCGCACTGTACCACTCTGTAGAGCTCATGAGGCAGTGCGGGGGCAGTTCATGGGTTTCAGCCGAACTCCTGCTTCTCCACATCAACACAATGTTCTCCTTGTAGTTGGCCGCGCGGGTCAGGGTTAGGCTATAGGGTTTTGACTTTGAGGGACTCTCTGTATGTAGTACACACCTCGGTATAATGCGAGCGCACCCTATGCGCAAACATGAGGCAGTGGCCGGGGCAGTTCATGGGCTTGAGCCCAAACTCCTGCTTCTCCACATCGAACACAAACATGTTCTCCTTGTAGTTGGCTGCGTGACCCTTGAACGGGCTCAGGGTTTCAGGGTTAAGGATTTAGGATTTCAGCACCTAGGGTGAATCAAGGGACAGATATTCTGTACTTACCTCGATAGGAGCGGACCCTATGCGCGAACATGAGGCAGTGGCCGGGCAGTTCATGGGCTTTAACCCGAACTCCTGCTTCTCCACATCGAACACAAAACATGTTCTCCTTGTAGTTGGCCGCACGGGTTAAGCCCAGGGTAGAGGGTTTAAGGTTCAGAATTAAAGGGGTATCTGTAGTACTTACCTCGGTAGGAGCGCACGCGGTGGGCGAACATGAGGCAGTGGCCGGGGCAGTTCATGGGCTTGAGCCCAAACTCCTGCTTCTCCACATCGAACACAAACATGTTCTCCTTGTAGTTGGCCGCGTGGCCTGAGATGTCCACAGCTCCATGTTGAACATGTTGGGGGTGACTACCTGATGATGTTTGGGGGGGATGGGAAAAGGAGGGTATGAGGAAACATAAGCGAGGAGAAACAGGGCGCAATAGAATCACAGCCTGCACAGGCTTCTTGTAGTGGCCGCGTGGCCTGAGATGCATGGCTGCATGGCCGGGTGGCCTGAGATGCATGGCTGCATGGCCGGGTGGCCTGAGATGCATGGCTGCATGGCCGGGTGGCCTGAGATGTTCCACAGCTCCATGTTGAACATGTTAGGCGTCACGACCTGATGATGTTGTGGAGGGGTGGGAAGAGGAGGGTAGGAGGAAACATAGGTGAGAGACGAGGGGCGCAGCAGCAACAGCAGGAGCCCTCCCACTCCACCCCCCCTCACTTCCATTCCCCTTACTCACCTTGTGGTAGCTCGCTTCCGGTACTCGCCCTGGATGAACCCCACCATTTTGTCGTATATCCGCGCACCATGCGGCAGGAAGCAGCATCAGCAGCACAACACTAATTCTCACCTCCCACCACCTCCCTCCCTCCCATATCTTCCGCCCTCCCATCTTCTCCCCCCCCCTCACCTCGTGGTAGCCTCGCTTCCTGTATTCGCCCCTGGATGAACCCAACGAGCTTGTTGTATATCCGCGCGCCGTGCGGTAGAAAGAAGCAGCTTCCTGGGCTGCAGGCAGGGAAAAAGGGTGGGAGAAACGAGGAGAGTAGACGGGGGTGAGCGGGAAGAAAGACTTTTACACTCCATGGGCCCTGGATGAACCCCACCAGCTTGCTGTAATCCGCGCTCCATGCAGCAGCAGGAAGAAAGCAGCTTCCAGGGCTGCATGCCATGGGAAAAAAGCAAAGTGGAGGAAGGGGATAGTCTTATGAGCAGGTGGAGGAACGGCATACGAGTGGGGTGGATTCGGGGGAGGAGAGAGGGGGGGAGACAGGGATGTCTTATGAGCAGGGTCGTAACTGGTACTAGCCAAAACATGTTAGCAGAAACCTCGATGGTGTTTACTCAGACGATGGTAAGCATATGAATCAGTGGAAAGCAGTACCTGAGCGGGTGGAAGAAGAAAAGGTCCAGTGGGAGCCCCACCATGCGGTGGTCTGAAGAAAGGTATAAGCTAAAACCAGTTACCATCAATGTTGTTGCTGCCACATGAATTCATGTCACCTAGATGATGTTACTGATATGACGGTACCTAAGCGGGTGGAAGAAGAAGAGGTCCTGCGCAAGTCCAACAACACGATGATCCGCTTCTTGGCCTCCTCTAACACGTGCAGGTACTCCTGGTGCAATGTGAGGGGTGGAGAGGGGTGGAAGGGGGTGGAGAGGGGTGGGGGAGATAACGAGTGATTGCAATGATAAGGTGGTCTCGCTTCTTGGCCTCCTCCAACAGTGCAGGTACTCCTAGTGGGGGGGGTGGTGGTGCAGGGAGGAGAAAGGGGAAGTGATGGGTGGTGGGAGAACAAAAGAAAGAGGGCTGTGTGTGTGCCGTATGTTCGCTGCAAGCTCTCTCTGGGCTGAGGTGACCAGTAACCCAACTCCACAGAAATATCTAACCTTGGCTTCTTGCTGTCGGGATATGAGATGCCGTACACTCGCTGCAAGCTCTCTCTGTCAAGTGTGTGTACGTGTGTGTGTGTGTGTGTGTGTGGTGTGTGTGTGTGTGTGTGTGTGTGTGTGTGTGTGGGCTTGTGTGAAGTGTAAGGTAAGGTAGTGGTGGTGTAAGTGTGTGCGTCTGTGTGTTGAGAAAGTCTCACCTGAGAGCTTCTTGCTGTCGGGATAGGAGATGCCGTACACTCGCTGCAAGCTCTCTCTGCTGACTGCCCCCTCCAATACGATGCTGATGCCTGCTCAGAACCCACAGCAGGGCGACAGGGAAGGGAAAAAGGGGGGAGAGAGAGAAAGGGGAGAGTGAGAAGTTTCAAAGCCCTAATTCATCTTGAAACAAGCGAAGGCCTTGACGTGGCAACGCAACCACTTACAATCCCTCTGAACCGCTCTGGACATCTCTGGACCTTGCTGAACCACTCTGAACCGCCCTGCACCCACCTTGAGGCAGGCGAATGCCTTGACGTGGGCAGTTTTGGGGATGCGGGGGCTGCAGCACAGATCAACTAAGAATTCTCTGTACCGCTACACTGAACCACTCTGAACCGCTCTAGACCCACCTTGAGGCAGGCGAAAGCCTTGACATGGGAAGTGTTGGGGATGTGGGGGCCACGGCACAGAAACCAAGGGCCCGCAGCGGTACACGGTGATGGTCTTGTCCTCTGGGAGGTCCTTGATAATCCCACCTGATGGGGGACGAGAGAACACGGGGTTGAGGGTATAGGGTACATGTCAGAGTAGGGTCTCACATGGGACAGTGTGAGTATGCTAGGCACAGGTCATCAGAGATCAACCAGCGGGCCGCCGCAGCGGTACACGGTGATGGTCTTGTCCTCTGGGAGGTCCTTGATGATCTCCAAGAGGAGATGATGATCGAGCGGGCGGGTAGGTAGGTGATGATCTCGAGCGCCTGCTGCTGCCCCCCCCCCCCCGCGTCACTCGATGCACGTGTAGAAAGAACATTTTTTGAGACGTCTCAAGAATGTTCTTTCTACACGCAGCGGTACAGCGTGACGGGCTTGTCCTCCAAGAGGCGATGATGATCGAGCAGGCAGAAGGTAGTGATGATCTCGAGCACTGCTGCCGCCTGCGTCACCTCGATCCGCTCAAACGCCTGCTTCTCCTTGGCTGCCTTGCCTTGCCTGCCTTGTCCTCAATGGCCTTAAGTTGAGCTGACACAGAAGTCTTCTCACTTGAACGGGTTATCAGCAAACATCTCAAGCGCCTGCTGCCGCCAGCACCACCTCGACGCACAAAGCTTGCTTCTCCTTGGCTGCCTTGCCTTGCCTTGCCTTGCCTGCCGCCTGCCGCCTGCCCTCAATGCCTTAAGTTGAGCTGACACACAAGTTTCTCACCCTGAACGGGTTATCGGGCGAACATCTCAAGAGCCTGCTGCCTTGTGACTTCGATGCGCTCAAACGCCTGCTTCTCCTTGGCAGCCTTGCCCGCCTTTTGAGCCGTCTCACAACGCACCTTTCACAGCTTATCACCTCACCTTGAAACAGCTTATCAACTCCTTTTGACCTTATATCTCCTCACCTTGAAGGGGTTATCAGCGAGCCTACTGCCTCGTCACCTCGAGCGCTTCAAACGCCTGCTTCTCCAATTCTTGTTTGATTGAGCCGTCTAACACACACACACCTTTCACCAGCTCATCTTCTCACCTTGAAGGGGTTATCAGCAACATCTCGAGCGCCTGCTGCCGCGTCACCTCGATCCGCTCAAACGCCTGCTTCTCCTTGGCTGACTTGCCCGACTTGCCCTCAATGGCCTTGAAATGCTCGTCGTTGAGCGTGCGTTCCCCGTAAAACGCATCATAGTAGAAACCCTGTGTATGGAGAGGAAAACAGAGGGGGCGAGAGAGATGGATGGAAACATAGCAGGACATGAGCCTCCCTGCCTTGCCCTCAATGGCCTTGAAGTGCTCGTCGTTGAGCGTGCGGTCCCCATAAAACGCGTCATAGTAGAATCCCTGTCACAGAGGAGGAAAGCAGGAGGGGTGCGTAGGAGAGATAGATGGATAGCACAAGCACGTGCAAGTGAGCATTCTCCGCCTTGCCATCAATGGCCTTGAAATACTCGTTGCTGAGAGTGAGTGCGCTCTCTAAAAATGGGTGGGGTGAGAGTCGCAGTAAAACCTTTGTTATGAGCCCAATGCACAGGTGGCTTGCTGGCACCTGCACCCTCTTACCTCCCTATTTATCCTCCTCCCCATGCTCTTCACTTCCCCTCCTCCCGTTCCTCTCCACTTTCTCTCACCTCGCCTTGGTGGTGCACCCAATGCACAACGACCTTATACCCCACACCTGCCTTCCTCCCTTCCCTCCCTTTTTCTCCTTCCTGTAATTCATTCCTTCATTCCTCCCATTTCTCCCACTTCTTCTCACCTCGCCTCGTGTGGTGCACGGCCCAATGCACAGGTGGCACCCGCACTCCCTCCCTTGCTCCCTTCCCTCCCCTCCCTGCTACCCTTCCCTCCCCCCCCCCCCTCCCTTGCATCCCTTCCCTCCCTCCCCTTTCCCTTCCTCTTCCTTCCTCGTCCCCCGCTTCCACGCCCCTCACCTCGCCTCGTGTCGTGCACGGCCAATGCATAGGTGGCACCCGTACTCCTGCTCCAGAGCCTGGGAGAAGGGAGAAGAGGAGAGGAGAAGGAGGAAGAGAAGAGGGAACGCATATCGGATGGGAACAAGAGGATAGAGCACAGAAGGAGGCTGGGACACCCAACCAATGCACAGGTGGCACCCGTACCCTGCTCTAGAGCCTGGGGGAAGGAAGGAGAGAGAGAAAGGTAGCACAGATACAACGAGGGCAATAAAAAGGACGCTTGCCCACCGTTTTACGAACTGTTCTAGTAGCACGTAAGATACTGCTCAATAACGCGTACAAGTAGTCATTATAACGCGTACCTCCCCCAGGATGTGAGCGCTGGAGTGGCAGAAGGTGTCCCTCCCCTCGTCGTCCTCAAATGTGAACAGCTGCAGCGCGCGCAGTCACCTTCCAGGGGCTCCTAGGGGCTACTGTCGTGACTACCAGGAGGGACCAAGGATGCCTATAACGCGTACAAGTACTGCATATAACGCGTACCTCTCCCAAAATATGAGCGCTGGAGTGCCAGAAGGTGTCCCTCCCCTCGTCGTCCTCAAACGTGAACAGCTGCAGCGCGCAGTCACCTTCCAGGGGGCGACATGTCCCACAACACGCCATCCACCTGTCAACGGGAGGGAGGGGAGGAGCGAGAAGCATGAGTTATATTAAACGAAATGAGGGAGAGGAGAGGAGTTGGAAGAGGAGAGGAAGAGCTGCAGCGAGCAGGACCCCTCCAAGGGGGACGCATGTCCCCACAACACGCCATCCACCTGTCAACGGGAGGGGAAAGGGAGAGATGGGCATGAACAATAGGATTTCAACAGGAGGAGTTGGCGAGGTTTGGTCACGAGGGAAGAGCTGCCAGCGAGCAGTCGCCCTGCAGAGGGCGACACATGTCCCACAACACGCCATCCACCTGTGAAGAGGAAGGTAGTGAGTGAGGAGGAGTGACACACGTACGTATGGATTGAAAGAAGGCGGTTTGGTCAAGAGAGGGCAGCTGCAGCGAGCAGTCACGCTCCGAAACCCGACACATGTCCCACAACGTGCCTCGCTCGCGAGATGCCCTTCGCCACGTCCATTGGGGAGGTCTCCCACTAGTCTCACCTGCATGTTCACCTGAATGTATCTCCGACCCCCAAGCAGCTCTCACCTTGGAGATGATGGCACTGTTGGCGAGCCCTGCGACATCCCTTCGCCACGTCCATTGGGAGGTCTCCAACTCTTGCCCTCCTTGGGATCAAATCACAGCACTGCCACTCGTGGATGCATTCACCGCGACCAAACCTGCTGCTGCTCACCTGGGTGCTCAACTCGAAGGAGCTTGCTCTCACCTTGGAGATGATGGCGCTGTTGGCGATCCCCTGCGAGATGCCCTTCGCCACGTCCATTGGAGAGGCTCCCCACTATCAGTCCTACATAACACCACCGTCACTCGCAACTTGAACTGCGACCAATAGCACTCCACTTGGACGTCAACCTCTCTCTACCTTGGAGATGAGGCGCTGTTGGCGAGTCCCTGCGAGATTGCCTTCGCCACGTCCATCGGGGAGGTCTCCCACTTCTTGCCCTCCTTCACAGCACCGTCGGGC